CTGATTTAGACATGTGGATTCTTCAAATCTGTATTATTGTTTAACGTACTCTGGAAAAACCCGATTACCGAGATGCAGGTTTCTCGAAATTCCTGATAAATGGAAATGAAGTTTAGGAGGCCGTCTGCTGTAACTTAACTGACGTCTAACTTACCGTTGTGGAGTATGATTAATATAGTCCGCGGCGCGCACACCTTTAATGTACATGCGGAACAAATTACTCCAACCGGCCACGGGAAACAAATTAAACTACATGTTTCCACTTTCCGCCTACTCCTAAAAATTTATTTCACTGCCTATCAGAATGTCCCACCCCAAAACCCTTACAACTACTTGTTCCGTAGGATAAATGCTGGGAAATAAGAGTAAATCAAGTGCACTACTTAAACCGCTTTTGCCAGTTAACCTTCTCTTTGGTGAGCTTCTACTTATGTCCATATTATGTTTAAACATAACATTACAAAGCATGCCGGAATCTTTAACTGCCACCTAAGCCGAATTTATTGGTCAAACTCTATGTATAATTACTATATGCAAAGTACATGGAATCCATCTATTTTCCAGAAAATTCCAAATTTATAATTCGGCTCTGCCTTTTCAAATTATTTAAACCAGAAGAGTTTGCGCAGACACCATTTAAATTGCTGGATTCAAAATCTATCCCGAGCTATAATTAATGTTATTTAAACACAATATTACACCGCAAAAGTGACTTAAGATTGACTTATTAACGTACTTCTCAGTATTGGCATTTGTAAATAGTTAACTTACGTCTTAGTTCCTCATTATATACACTTTCTGAGGCAATCATATAATCATAACCCTTAACGTTTAAGCTTCTTTATTGAGCGTTTGATTAGCACCAGGAGACAGTTCGCTACCGATGCAGCAATGACTTGGTTCTATACTGCAAATATTTGTCTTATTTCTCCTTAAAGTTAAATTACAACGCTTTTCTTCTAGATAGTCGGGAAGGACAATGGCGAGCCGTCATTGAATGCAACAGCTCAGGTGCACATCGATCTTCTTGACGTTAACGATTGCGTCCCAGTTTTTGCAAAGGAAAACTACACCTTTCTGATAACGGAGGATTGGGGAACCATTTTCAAGGTACCCCGCCTTGTTGGAGTTGTCTCAGCGACCGACTGCGACTCAAGCGAGTATAATAGGATTACGTACAGCATTCTGGACAAGAGCAACCTATTTACCGTATGTCCGATTCGTATTAAGTCAACCTTGTTACAGATCCCTGTGCAGATACTTTTAGGATTTGAAAGTTGACATGGAAATAACTCCTTTTCTATTTATCCTTTCATTTTAATAGCTTACGTTTAGTTTTTATGCACTAATCAGTAAAGGTTTTCCTCAGAAATATTTACTCGGGAAATGCGTTCCCATAGGTATTGTTTTCTATTTATATGAAATCAGACAACGCTGGCTTTATACAGATTAAAAAATCAGATATGCACGTAATCTAAAAATGCAAAGATCAAGGTAGCTGAATCAGCTTAAAGTAATCTACGAGCATTTTGTGAGACGGTCATCCTACCTGGGCGTTTTAATAAAAATATTTCGTATTCCTGGCGCAGGTTTCGTGCTTTTGATCCGGACAGTTACACTCTACAGCAAGTTTAATTCCTAGTTTTATTGCATAATCAACGCCTTAATTTTTCGCAAGGTGGTGCTCATGCATTTTATTTAGAAGTGTTTCGCCAGGGTTTAATTTACCGAACGACCCAAATAGGCTGGCTCGTGTATCCCATGCTTGGCGTTTTGGGGAAGCACACGTCCAAAAGATTGACCCGATGCTTCTTATTTTGGGTTATCTATAGATACCTTAGAGTATACGATTAAGAAACGCAATCCTAATCCCCCGTAAGTAACTTTATTTGACCTACAGTCGATTCACTCTCTCTATAAAGGACCACTTTTATTTCAACGTTTAGTTCACAGACGTGTATATACCGTGATATGATCGGTGAGCGCTTCGCTGCTCCTTTTTTTTTATAAATAACGTCTTCATCCTTATCCTCCCGACGAGAAAAAAGAGATATTCGTAAATGGGCCGAAATATATCAAAATAACTTTTTTTAAAAACAGCGTTTCCATTATTACAGTACTGCGCGTACTCTTCACGAGGACCTTGCTTTGATCCACCTGGCGGAGAATTCCGAACCAACCAATGGCTAACAGGCCAGGTAAAGTAAATATGTTGAGCACAGTAAGAAATTAGGGCAGGCAGTGTCGCAGAATATACTTCACACGGGAAAGGTAGGTACCGTGCTCCGATGATGTAGATCCGAGAGTTTCCGAAAGGTCAGGTTGAGTATATATATACATATATATATTTGTTTCATAAACGCGTCTCTTCTTTTTCGTCCGCCTTGTAGGACCTCGAATCCTCAGACATTTATTTATACATACTTATCCAGGAATGGATGCGGAGCGCTCTACTTGGCTTCCCGTGTGGGCGGCTAGGCTTCTCAAACAGGCGACCACCTGCCAGGCCGATGTCGGCCAAACTATTAAAGCGCAGAGAGAGATGACAGGGTTTGGGATACTTTGATGGGGAACTGTTTCCAGTTTATTTACCTTCATTCAACCAAGCATAACTCGGACCACCAGTTGGGCCAGACAAAAGAAACATGCGCACTCACAGATGGCGAGGATGTTCCACAACTAGGGTCTGCCAAATGGGTCATAAGAACTTTATCGAACAGAAATTTACCACTGCCTTGTTGCCTGCCGCTTACTGTCGCTGGTGTGCACCCGCTCCTGATGAATATATACCCGATCTACAAAATGGTAGGTGCTGAGGCAAGAGACGAGCGACCACGAGACTGTGTGTATTCACACAAAGCACGTTAGAGCAAGTCGTTTTCACACAAGGACTAAGTGCATGTAAAGGGCCGAGCAAAGGGTATATTCCGAGACAATGGGCCAATCAGTATTGAGAATACAATGACTGGCCGCAGCGAGGTAGTTCGCGACGCCTTTGTGTGTGTTGCCTCATCATGGGAATAGCGGCATTCCCAATAGTTACCCATAACTGCTCTCATCCCTCTTTGCTATTATGACTTGTCCGGCATCGGCCTGGTAGGTGTTCCTCCGTTTCGGGATCCCCAGCTACCCACGCGAAGTTTGTTTACTTCAAGAAGCTTATATGATCCGTGGTCACATATTCCTGAGTGAATGTATACCCGGTCTGCAGTGACAGAGAATGGCGGGGGAGGAGGCATTCTCTGTCACTGCAGACCGGGTATATATTCACTCAAGAATGTGCGACCACCGATGAATGAAGGCAAATTAGCCCGAAACTTTTCTGTATCAAGTTACCTCCGTACGCTCTCGTCCCTCTCTGATATGCATATAAATACCGATGGTTTTGAATTTGAGAGGGTTTGTCAGATTTGGATAATTCAGTTGACCCAAATGTGAAAACTTGATGGCCTCCGGGGGATTCGAACCCAAAGCGTGGGTAGCCTTTCACTCAGCCAACGCTCAGCCATTGAGTTACGAAGGCCTTCATAGCTTAATGGTAGAGCATTGCCTGTACTAAATCCTCCCCTGCTGTGTGGGTTCGAATCCCAACAAGGCTGCTTAATGTTCACCATTGGGTCAACTGAATGGATTATGCAGTAAATGCAAAATATCCGTCATGTTTCTATTCCATTTTTCAACTTCGGTAACTGTGCAGATGTCTATTTAACTGAGTTCAAAGTCACGAATGAAAGAGAACGTTCGCGTTCCAGGTATTTGCGTGCTTGAGGAAGAAGGAAGGTCGAGCACCAGATTAAGTTGTTTATTATTCTGAACTTTCGGGTTCTTGCGAAAGTCTATCGTCAGAAATAAAAGCGTCCACAAAAAACAAGCGACAGTTATAGGGGGTAGGAGCCAATCAAACGTCATAGATTAGGGGAGGGATTGGAGGGAGAGAGAGTCCACCGTCAGGGATAATAGCTTCCACGAAACAAGCAACAGTTGTGGGGGGTAGGAGCTAGTCGAACGTCATACGGGCAGAGAGAGCGAGGGGAGTTGACAGTTCTTCTTTCTTATTAGTAAATAAGGCGCTGGCTCAAAAACAGGGATATACTTGTTGGCCCTGGGGTCATTCGTCGATTTTGCGTTATCAATTTTACTTAAAAGCTTGCCTAATTCAATAGTAAACATTGAAGTCAAAAACTATTATTCTCCATTTATTTTGTGCCTTTAGATAGATCAAAACGGCGCAGTTACCTCTGTTGCACTCTTGGACCGCGAGACGGCATCTCGGCATAACATCCAAGTGATTGCCATTGACGGTGACCCGGACCCACCACTTTTGAGTGAGCATGGTGAAGGCAGCCACGGTCTCACAAAAAGCCAACGAAAAGATGTAGTAAATACAGCTATCGTGACTGTGCAGATCTATGTTGAAGACCTCAATGACAATGCCCCCACCTTCGTCTACCCTAACAGCGCATCCAACATGGTAAGCGTTAAACGTTACAGCCTTTGGGGCTTATCAGGAATGCAGAAACATATTGGACTAACGTTGGAATAATATTTGTGCGTCGTCAGCTTAGTCATACGACCTTATTGCTTTGTCCATACACGAGTAAATCTCCTCAAACGCTGTCCTACCGTTGACGTTGTAGGACTCCTAGCACTATTCAGTTTTTTGCAAAAAACGTTTTAAATGGAGCGGTTTGATGTCGAATGCGGAAAGACCCATTTAAATTTTTCTTTATATAATATGGTTGTGAAGAAGACGACTCGATCGCTGGGACAATACTTTTTTTCGCCTGACGTTTAGAGATTCGTCATCAGAGACCTAGTCAGATAGTATGTACGGGTCTGCTACTGCTATCTGACTAGGTCTCTGACGACGAATCCGCGCGGATCTCCAAACGTCAGGCGAGCACAACTATTGTCCCAGCGACCGAGTCGTCTTCGTAAATGCTTCCTGGCAGTCGCATGTTCACTTGTATTAGCATATTATGGTTGTCTTACCTAGCACGTTTATCACTCGAAAGCCTATCACAAGGTCTCGCTGATAGACCAGTTTTTACTAAGGATGACCTAGGAATCCCTAGAGGTAAATCCTCCATCACATACTATCCCTCCGACTGTACTATATGGTAAAATTATTTATGTTTTGAAATTACAGGATAATCAAAATGTCAAAAGGTCATCAACTTAACACTTAATTCTGTGATCGTTAAATATTAATTAAAACTCATTTAGAGTAGAATTAATGCACATTGTAAACAGCATTGGTCATTTAGGTTCTTTAGTTTCCGACAGAGGCGCGATTACCGACAGAGTCTGATGAAAAATAGGCAAGCTGATAATATATCACCCGCGGAAGTAGAATTCATAAAACAAAATTAAAATTGACAAGAACCATATGGTGTTTCCGGTTGACAAAGGAAGAGTGATCATATCGACACACCACGTCGCTTATAACGGGACGAGAATAGCTCTTCTGAACGATTAAACGATATAAAAAACTATGCCTTCCTAGAATGCCATAGCTATGATCAAATAGCTGGCTGGACATCTAAATCAACTCATACGCAACCAGTTTATCTCGCCAGAAGAATAGCAACAGGTAATATTGACTAATATGTCACTGGGCAGGTTTTATAAAGCACCCAAAATCCACAATACAAACGTTCTCTCTCGGCCAGTCGTTGGTCTGCAGGGTAGCCCAATTTCCAATCTATTCAAACGGACCGCTTAAACTTTCTTCTAGAAGGTTTCAGGTTGCCAAGCATTCCCGACCTGCATTACTGTGCCTTCTCCAAGAGTCCACTCAACAAAGAAGAAGAAACTGAACAGTAACCTATTTTTGACGTTTTCCTCACGTATAAATCCGGTAGTGGAGTTTACACCGCAATATGGTTAAGAAAAACTACCGCAACTATTAAGTCGCATTGGTGCCCAGGGATGGCTGGGTTAAGACGTTCTTTTAAAGCATAAAACCTACTACGGGGGATCAATCTAGGATGTATATGAACTACGGCACCTTCGTAGTTAGTTAACAGAGAATATACAGGGTTTCCCAGAAGTGACTGACCCTTTTGAGTTGCCAATAAAACGAAAACTACTAACGCTAGGATATTGAAACTTGTTTTATT